TTTTAGCCAAATTGGGAAACCAGAGAGTTGGACATAATAAGCAAATGAAGAAACACAGTTTTCTATAATGTTTTTTAAAGTTCAAATCAACAAAGTCTGCAGCTTCACCTTCCTCCATTTTTTTTTGTACGAATACTTTTAATGCAGATACCAAAATTAACTAAACATATTGAGTAGTTGAAATAAATATGCATATCTTCTTCTCTTTGAAACAATGACCTGTTCTCTTACCATGAAAAACATTTGAAAGAATTAGCAGACAGGATTTAAAGTAGAAAAAAGACAGTCCAGAGGGAGGCACTAACTGAGCAAGGTCATATTCACTTTTTCAAGTCGTCGTAATTCAACATTTAAGAATATTATATGGCAGCCTAGTGGGTTCTGGGAATTTAATGTATGCGCAGAAATTACTTCCTCGAGTACATCTATAAATATATTTCTTTATGCACCCATGTGAAACATCAGCGGTCCCTTCAGGAGCAGCTTAATGGATTGTGCATTAGCCTTTAAGGGTATGTTTGGAGTACTCGATAAAACATTTTTTTTTTTATTTTTGACAAAAACAATAATTAGTAAATTAAATTAATTAATTATAAAAAATTAGAGATTCAATTCCTAAACGAAGATAAATATCATCATTTCTTCATTGAAGAACGCGACCCATCTAGTTAACCGCATGATGGGGCTGGATAAGACATGGGATAAGACAAAATTTATGTCTTGTGTCAATGTGTCATTGTGTCTTATGTTTGGAGCGACTATGGGACAAAATAACTGCTATCTAATGTTTTGTCCTATTCTGAGTTCGTAAGGAAATATCCCACCTACGCAGGGACGCTGGGACGCTGGGACGCTGGGACGCATCCAATGAAGGACGGTGGGAGGAGCTGCCCCCTAAACTTTTAAAAAATATTTAATATGGTACTCTAACTTTTATTTGTTAAAAATTTAATTTTTATAATATGAATTTCAAGGATCATTTCAAACGTTAAAAAAAAATTTAGGACATAAATAAAATGTTTTTGAAAAGTAAGGATATGATTTAAATAAAATGAACTTTATTACAATTTAATTAATTAGGAATTGAGGTTTTAAATATTTCTTTATCTATTAAACTTCAAATATGAAAACTTTGATTCTCTGTTCAATTAATTTTAAATTTAAATTTTTCTTTAGTATCCTTTATTTTCTTTCTTAATATTCTATATAATAATTTAAAATTTTTTAATGGCATTGAGGTATATTTTTA